TCCTGTAGCTTGCATTGCCTTGAACCTCAAACCCCTCCTACCACCTTCTAATTTTATCGTTGAAACCCAGGACTTTCAACTGCCTATTGTCAAATCAGAACGGGTGGGGGCCTCATTGGATACAATTGATCTCCAGACTTATTGGGAAATGGTCTAAAACTTTACGTTGAAGGAGCTTTTGAGATAAGCCAAATGCTTGAGCTTGAAAACACATGGAAACAATGAACCTGTCAATTCTAGAAAAAGAAGGGGAATCCCCCTAGAATTAGACCGGGTCCATCTTCCTCCACAAAGAGGTAGATCCATCAAGTTCAATCTACTCATAATTTCAAAAAAAAATATCAGTGGACCGCTAAAACTGAAAGACTCTCCATTTTAGTTTTTTGGAGACGAATAACATCTGACTTTTGTCTGCCCATGCATCCCTTAATACTTATTCTTTCTTGTTTCCCCGTTCTGTCCCTTCACATTCCAAAAAATGATTTTATTAAACATGGCATCAAATTTGACTTCCCTTTTCCTGCCCTTCTCCCCCTTTTCTCCCCTATTGTAGTTGACAGAGGATTGGAGTCTCTTTAATTCTCTGTCCATCCCTACCCTACTCTTCTTTTCAAAGTTGATTTTCTGTATTATTCACTGAATTTTCTTTTTCCCTCCTCACTATGGTATTGAATAATTCCAGGACTTTATCTCACTGTCAAAACTCATTCCCAGAATCTAACTAATCTTCTATGAATGGTTAAGGATTCATTTATTTTATTTTCCTCACATTCCTCCCCCTCCACACTGTAATAACTTACCATTTCTCTATCCTCACCGCCAATCTCCTCCATTTTCCTCTCCCTTATGCCATCAACCTCACCTGCTGGGGCAACCAATCCCTTCTTTCTGAACCGGTGATGTGTTCTCTTATATGCCAACCCCCTAAATTTATTTGTTGGCATTTACAAGAAACCTTTAAGCAATTTTAAGGTTAATTAGTTGCACAATTTTCAAGTTGTTATCAACTTAAATGGTTAAGCAAACACATAAACTGATTTCAAATATCATTTGTGCCATATTTTATTATATCTGCCATTATGCATGTACTTTTTTGTTAACTTAGATAGTGTTTTGTAGTTTTGTTGTTGAATGATGGGTATTTAAGAATGCTATAATTATTTTATCACACACCTTTTCTGATACTTCCAGTGATGGTAGGAAGGAATACTTGGCAGTATTCAGAACTATGATAGCATAGTTACTGACCGGAGTCCGGTAATTCTAGCTGTAAACCATATTTTTTGGTTTCTTGTTGGTAGTAGCTTTCTAATATCTTAATTAAATTATATAGCACAAATGCATTGTCACATTGTTAGTGCAATATTCTTTATCTGATCATATGTTTACATCTAGTTGGTGATCATTTCTCTACATCTGAATGCAGCTTCAGAGTTTGCTCCTGACTTTACCATCATATCAGCAGGGTTTGATGCTGCAAGGGGTGACCCTTTGGGATGCTGTGATGTAAGTATGTTTTCAGTAATCTAGAAAACTTTGTTAACATTTCTTTGTTGATCAAGGGACATAAACATTATTGCTGGAGCTAGTCCCTCCAGTGGCATTACTTTTGACTATCAAAATGTGCAACATTTTCTGACTACATAAAGAACTTGTATAGTTTTTTCGCTTATTATGTCTGGTAACTTGTGTTTTGTGATGGTTTAGTGGCACTTTCTTGTTCGAGATAGATATTAGAATTTTGATTCTTGATTTCATCTCCATTTCCTTTCCTGGTGCTCATGTAGGTAACTCCTGCTGGTTATGCACAGATGACACAAATGTTAACGGCTCTATCTGGTGGAAAATTACTTGTTATTCTTGAGGGCGGGTCTGTGATTTGCTGTTTTGGTGTTTGGACTTTACCATTGACCTTATCTTGAAATTCAATTATCACATTAATAACTTATTCTTTTGCAGCTACAATCTCCGTTCAATATCATCTTCTGCTGCAGCGGTGATTAAGGTTAGTGTTGTTTTGACTTCATATTGGCTATGCTTGTTACTAGGGGTTTCCACTTGTCAAATTTATGATTTAGCTGCCTTATTTATATACACAAGTTAAATTCTTCTATTGAATTCTAATATCATTTGTTAGATTTTAGTTGGTGGGTGCCTAGTCCGCATTGTATTTTTTCTATCATTTTCTTTTCTGTTTCTTTTTTTTCCATTAAAAATAATGTTGTTGGGCATTTAGCTCCTAAGATTCCATTCTGTGTTGTCTTGCATCTGGTTTGTAAATTCACTTTCTGATATCTATTTGGCAAAAAAGGTACTGCTTGGTGAAAGTCCTGGATATGAAGTTCAGAATAATCCGCCATCCAAAGCTGGCTTCCAAGCTGTTATGGATGTCCTCAAAATTCAGATTAGCTTCTGGCCTACTCTGGAATCAAGCTTAACGAGGTTGCAATCAGAATGGGGAGCATATTCTACTGAATACAAAAGTGAGGAACTTGTTTGCCAACTTCTCTCCTTGAAATGTTGATGGTTCAAATTTGATTCATCCTCTTGTTTTCTTTATCAAATTCTGGGGAAGAGAATTTTGTTAGAGGGTGGGATGGGTAATTTGCAATAAGAAAATCTGATAATATTTTTCCCTTCTGCTTTACCCTCTTCTATTTTTTCTCCTCAGAAGGCTCTTTCTCTGGATGCTTTCTTATAATATTTGTTTTGGCCCCTCTTTTTTTTGGCAGAGAAACAAATCAAAAAGAGGCTGCGACTTGAGGCTCCCATATGGGCACCAATATGGTGGAAATGGGGAAGGAAAAGATTTTTGTATCAGTTTCTTTGTGGCCGTCTTAGTGTGAAAAGGGAGTTTTGAATATCTGAGGAACTGTATTTTCTTTTGATCTTATCCGATCTTCAATTTTGCTCACCCTCACCCTTATATTCTGATCACTGCGATGACTGCATTTTCCCACCACGGTCTGATGTTTAAATGGCATGATGTATAATGGTGCAACAGACATGGATCTAGGCTGTGTAGTTTCTCCTCACCTGACTCCTGGGTGGTAGAATAGGCTTTTGCATATTTTGACTTGAGGAGGCTTGAAAATGAAATGCTAATATCCTCTTGTTTCTGGTTTACAGCATTGATGGCACAAATTTTTCTCCTCTTGTTCTTGGTTTACAGCATTGGTTTACAGAATTTAGAGGCCACAGCTTGGGCTAATATATAAAGAGATATATAGTGATTTGAGTTCGTATTTTTGTAGTTGAATTATATATCTATTTTAGGGAAGAAAAAGAACAGGGTCACTGTTTTGATTCTATTACGATTTAAAATTTGAGGGTTTCTTTTTTTGGTAGTTTTATTGACTGTTAGTTTTGTGGAAATTCTGCGCATCTTTTTTTTCAATATGAACACATAAAAAAGATGTAAGGTGAAATAATTTAAAATTTAAAGGCAAAAACTACAAGGTCCAAACTTGAAAAAACTACTGGTTTGATATAAAATATCAAAAAGGAGCACAAAACCACTCTTTATGAGGTAATAAAATTTAACTCTTTAAGTTTGTTTAGCTTTCATTGTAATTAAGTTTAAGAATAAATAAATAAAAACATAAATTACGAATTAGGTTTAAATTATCCACGATCATGAATAAATTAGTCTATTAACATTTACATTATCTCAAAATTTATTCAGACCCAAAAAAAAAAAGAAAAAAAATCACATGAACTAAAAAAAGAAACACAATTATTGGTGCATTGTGGGGGGTGGCATTGGATAAGCAACAGGGAGCAAGTATGGAGGACGATGGTGATGGTGATGGTGACGGTGGTGAGGAGGAGGAAGCATAACAGGAGTCCCAACAGCCGAAGCCATGTGAGGTGGAGCTGCAACCGGATGACCCAAAGGCGCCGCCGCCCCGTACATGCCTAAACCAGCCATGTGCGGCTGAGCCCGGTGCTTCACTCCGGCCACTGACCCCATGGCTGGCGTAGCTGCGTTGACCTGTTGACCTGTAATTGGAGCTCGAGGAGCATCTTCATTATTGACACTGGTAATGTCATGGATGCTGGACCTCCTCCTATCTCTGTTCATTGAGTTTAAGCGAATGAAGTACTTTTG